TGCTTGCTCCTCTATTCTGAGTTGTCTTATGGAGAGAACATTGCATATGAACTTGTGCTTAACATATGAAGTCAAGAGTATGTGCAGATCAAGACATCTTGGTGCATTCAGGGTTTGTTTGCATCACTCCCATCATCTGGGGCTGGTAGGACCTACCTCTTCATTTCCTCTCTTAAGAATCCCCTAATCCATCCCCAAAGAAAAAAAGCTCTAAAGGACATACATTTTTAAATTAAATTAAAATAAATCAATTTTGCTTTAAAAATTTGAAAGGATTGGAAGCACCCTGAGTTTGCCCAAACCAGCTTTGGAAGTGGTGAACAGGCAGTGAAAGGCAGAGCAACTATTGGGTGAAGTGCTATGGAATTAGCTCCCAGGCCCCAAATCCACATTGAGTCCTGAGTTATTAGGGTCCACCTGCCGGACTCCTGCAGCAAAATGGCAACTGCCCCCTTTACTATGTCCTCCACCGCCCCTCCATCAGCAGCAGCCTTAGATGTGATTTCCTCACAACTCCTCTCTGAAACATCTTAATTTTCTCCAGAAAGGACCTCAAATGCTTTTTGAAATCATGCTAATTACCAAAGAAATGTATAACGTAAATGCATAACATCACAACTTCTTGTGCACCTATCCTGCCCTGAGTTCTCAAGCATCCTTGGCCTTTAGGTTTGACTTCAACTAATCCATATTGGCCTACACCTCGTGGCATGCCGTGCCCAACCAGAGAATTCTCCCCATGGTGGCCATCCAAGATGGCGGCCAGAGCGCCACAGAAACTAAGTTTTTCAAGGGACATCTCAGTTAGGAAAATATTAATAACAACAACAAACCAACCCACGGGCTGTACATAATTGTAGATACCCATTTCATTATAAATAAATACTAAAATGGAAGAAGTAAAATGGTTACAGGAAACATCCCCTTCACGTAGTGTCCGCATTCTCCTGGAAGTCTTCTTTTTTTCCTTATTTCCATAAAGTACAAGATATCTCAGCAGCAACATAAACACCATATTGTCTACTAGTTACCATAGCAACTACTATCCATGTAATTTGCTCATGCCTAAATTAAAGCTGCCTAGGGTAGTTTTAACTTGCATCTCTCACATATTACTTTTTGATGGTGCTTTTCTTTAATGAGAATTGTGTCTCTTAAATTGTATGCTCCACTCTACCTTACTTGGAGCTAACTTTTGCCATTGCCTGACCTTGTTTCCTCTATTACTTTTAGAGTTTCAGCAAAGAGAGAACATGCTTTCTTAACGGTACACATGTTCGCTGAGAGTGGAGGAGGGGGGATGAAGGAGAAGCAAGTTTTCCATCTGAAAAGAACATGAGCATCTGCCTAGCAATGAACTTCCCTGCTCTTGAACTTGTCAATTCTTTTCCACCTCTTCATTCAACACAATTCAAAAGGCATAACCTGAAAAAGGGCATGATGGAAAGAAGTACTGAGATCCACTAAAGAAAAGGCACAATAGTTAATCATCTCTTCTCTGGCATCCTTCCTTCAACCCTACAAAATAAACAAGTTGAGAAGTTCTTCAATTTCTGTGACTGTAAGCGATGTGGTGAATTAATGTTCCTAAATGCTAGCACTGGGTAAATGAATTCATTGTTGAGAAAGTTCTGGATGAGCCAGTAGCCAAGTTATTAATTCCATTATATATCCTTGTTTGTGTCTGCTCTGGGATAGAGATGAGAGAGGAACATTGTCATGAAGAAACCCATTAAATATACCTGCCTTTGTAAAATCTTGCATCTCAAACTAAAGTTGTACTATGCTTTTCTTAAAGAACCCAAAATTCTCAGTGGCCCTACCAAGATAGGCAATAAGTTTCTCAAAAATCACATTGGCACATAGGTGCTTACAACTACTCAATGAATTTTTAACCAATACGTATCCACCTGGAATTAAACCAAGATGGACTCATTAGAAGAGCTGTCAGGATCGCTACCCAACATGGTAACTCTCAGGACAGACAGTGGGAAGTCTCTAAATGTCCCTTTGCAGGGCTTTCAAAGGGCTCAATTCAGGTGTGGGAAACCTGTCTTTAATATTTTCATTGCTGCTCCCAATGTACTTCCAATGTTATTAATTCACGTGCAGCATTTCATTAAATGGGATCCTCTTTGCAAATACTGTTTCGTAGGCTTTCTTTCTTTTTTCCTGTAAAGCTTTATCTAAATTGGAGTGCATTTTGTGCCAGCTGCTCACAGCAGCGTGGAAGCCTGGAAACACAGTCAGAAAGTGCTGCATGCCTCCAGACTACAGCAAGCCTTTCTATTTGCCGGTTTAATCCTCCAGACTTCAGCCATTTCCCATTTGGTCCTTTACATCATCTTGGGCTAATCCGTCAAACATTTTAGACAGCCAAGCCAACCTCCAATTGCTGAGGACTTTGCCACAAGCGCCATGTCCGTTAATAAGATTTTCATTTGGAAAGATGCCAGGGCGTCCATGTTTTCTATTGTATATAAATACTAAGATTTAATAGCTTCAGGTTTTGTTTAATGTTAACGTCAACTATTTAAAAAAAAAAAAAAAAGGTCCTCAAATGCCTGGCCCGACAGTGAAATGCCCCACTGACAGCTATTTGCAAGGGTAATGTTGTGGAAAACAACATCCATCTTGGAAACAGTTTCATTAGCCCCATCTAGCTGACCTCTCCACATAATGTTGTCAAATGTGACGGGCATCAGATTATTGGGAATATGGAGATCAATAAATATGCAACACCGGCGCTTAGAATGCTTCTGGCATCAGAGCCATACAAATACCATCTAACATGGCTCAGAGTTGCTGTCATTTGTCACACCAGCTAGTAAATAGACAAGCTTAAGGGGAAGGCTATCCGTAATGGTAAAATATATGGGTGAAGATGAATTAGACATGGAGTGTGTAGTCAGGGTTCTGATGCATGAAGGTTCCAAATGAAAAACACCAGGCAAACATTCTGGAGCAACAGCCTGCCTTCTTCGGGAAATGGATGCAAATTCTTGCCACATGGTCCAAAGCTGTTCCGTGGTCCTACTTCTGTGTTTTTAATGTCAGCTGCCAAGGAGTTTTGTCTGCATCTGGGATGCTTGCTAGAAACTTGGAGTATCTCGAGTGCATTCTGTACCCCATGAGGCAGCCAGACCACCCATTCCATGCGAATCCCTGTGTGTCAACCATGCGATGTCTTTCCACATGATACCTAACCAAGGTCAAAGAAAATGCCTGCACTGTCCAATAACTTTAGCCTCAAATGCCTGCACCTTGGGGTCCACAAAACAACAACCTGGTTGAAGTTCTAAAGGAAACTTTGACCCCAGCTGGTGGTCATCAAATTGCCCAGACAATCGGACCTTTAGGAACCATTTCTGATGACAACTTCTCCATCAGGCCACCTCCTTCTAAGATCTCTGCATGCTGCCTGCCCATCCCACTACCTCTTTGCACATACCACTCCCTGAAGATGCCAGCTACTGCCCTTGCTCTGCCCCAACAGTGTTTTCCAGATTCCCCAGAACAGGCATCCCTGTTCATAAACCCTCCTCCCCCTCCAAAACGTGCTCCAATCCAGCCAAGTCCACTTTTAAATTAAAGAAACTCAAGGAAAAGCAAATTCTTGGGACAGCTAGCACAGAGGATGTAAGCCACACTTGTGCATATAGCCAGACACCCTGTGCCAGAACAAACACGTTCCTCAAACCCGGTTAATGTGGATGACCAGCGATGACCAACATGCTTCCAGCCCCCTATGTTTTAAGAAATGTCATTCATCTCTATGGAAAAGAGAACAAACAAGAAGCATAAAGGTATTTTTGAAGTATACTGTTAGGAGGTACTTGGCTGGTAATTTGCAGCCTAGGTACACACCATACCTTTTAGCACAGCTATTTCTCTCTCAGGGAGAATGCTGCCGTACTTATGATAAAGGCTCTGCTGGACCTCTTCATCAATAACAAACCTTTAAGCACAGCACATCTCATAAATAGGAGTTCCACTAACACAGACTTCAAAAGGATAGAACTTGATAATTCAAAAATAGAGCTATATTAAGTGTTCCAGCAGTCCATCCATAAAAGCTGTCGTATATTCCAAACGCCAGAGTCCTCCGAGCAACATGACAGGTCTATTAGAATAATAGCAGGGGAAAGCATAATTACAAGTCATCATTGGCTGGAAAGGAGCTAGTTGTTTTTGTAGAGCAAAATGCCGCGCTGAGCCCCGCGGAAAATGCAGCCCGAGCAGCCGCGGTGAAGGCAGATAACCAGCGAAAATAACCACAGCGCAAACCCCACACTATTTATTTCTATTTATTAGGAACTCTTTGTATACCTTAATGTTTTCCCGGTGAAATCATCTTAATTTGAGCCCACATTTTCTTTGGATAAGATTATTACATAATTGCTACTTACCAGACACTATTTTCTATACATTTGTTGGTCAAACAGTTACGGTGTCTGTCTTTTCCAGCCTGACAGAGGAGACCATTCCATCAAGCAGGGGCTCCTGGTTGGCTCCATGGAGCCATATTGAATATACGCCACATGCCAAAAAGGATGGAGAAAGCTTGGCTAAGCATTAACTTTTTAACCCACAGATTAATGACTCTAGCTATCTAAGGATTGGGCTGTTTCCTCATTAGGGATGGCAAAGGATGAGGCATCCAGGGGCTGTTTCCCTGTGGATTGGACTGCATCCCATTCCAGAAACCTCATTCATGTGGTGGCTTTTGTTTATCCTCTTCCTTAATTAGATGGATTCTCTACACTTGTCAAGCACTTCAAAAGCTTCCAAAATGCTGGAAGAACAACACCTCCGATCTGAGTTTTGTCAACAAGCCCAGGAGGGAGTCAGGGCAGGAGTCATTAGCTCCACTTTGCAGATGTGCCAATTGAGGCTCAGAAAGCAAAGGGACTCTCCAGAGGCCACACAGTTGACGTTCTTCCCACCCCATCGTCCTTGACAAAATGCTTGCTGTGCACCTGGTTCTCCCTCTTACTTACTCTGGGGGAAGCAGCCGCAAAGATGAAAGCCACACTCATGGTGCTGTTGTGCAGGTGTCAACTGGGTCTCAACATACTGAAGTAGGCCTCACATTCAGCCTCCAGACTCCAGAGAGATGGTGCAGAGGCTCTCACCCGACGTCGAAGGCGGCCGTGTTTTCTGCATAAGGAGAGACACAGTCAAGTCAGATTCACCTGGGTCTTGGCATCATTCACTTTCCCAACATTTATTGATTTATGGGCAGGGTACTGGGAGTGGAGGAGCCAGTGGGGAAACAAGTAGGGAAGAGGGTAGACAGGCTGAAATCTAATTTTTAGCCCAGAGATGAGAAAAATGCACCTCTGATGACTTGGCCTGATAATAGTAGGCAGAGTCAATGCAGAACACATGGGACAGACATGGGGTGGAGGGCGGCGAGGTATACAGGAAAGCACTTGGAACTCCAGCTCGAGCCTTCATTGACTTTCTAGCCCACTGAACCTGGGCCATTGACTTAACCTCACTGAGCCTCCGTGTCCTCACCTGGAAAATGGGAGTAAGAGTACTGCCTGCCTGAGAGGGCTCTTGTAAAAGTAAGAGATGACCTGTGTGGTGCACCCAGCATAGTGCATGGCACACAGGAAGCACTCGTGACGAAGCCCTTCATTTGGTAAGCCACAGGATGGAGGGACCCATGGGCCCTGCATTCTTAGGAGAGACCTCCTGGAGGTGGTAGGAGCCCAGCTGGCTCTTGGAGAGTAGGGAAGCAGTTCTCTGAAAAGCTGGCACCCCAGGCCTCGTCACTGTGGTCCAGAAACTCAACTGGCCTCTTGCCAGGGGCACATTTTTAATAAAGTCATGGTAGGGGACCCTGCTGGGGCTCAGGTTTGCTGGTATGCTTGCTTCTCACATAGACTCCTAGCAATGTTGAGAGAGTCAGGACTTAAAAACCTTTTGGGTTTCAACAGTATATCAATGTTGGTTACAAAGTTGCAACATACAACCCCACTCCTTCTCCCCACTCAAAATATTCAAGTTGAAAATTATTTGGTTTTGAGATAGTGACACCAGGATATCATCAAAGCAAGGTTAGAAATCTCAATCCAGTGAATATATTTAAAATTTAGGCTATTAAGGGATTTCAGCTTGTCAAGAGCTGGATCTTCACCCTCTCTCATGGGATAAAGCTCCCATAATGCTCAGGAAGACCGTATCATACATCCAATGTACACATTGCAGAGATCAGATATCAAGAAAGAGGATGGTGATGATGGTGGTGGTGGTGATGTGATGGTGACTATGACGACCATGCAAGGAAGGATAAAGGTTAGGCTCAGGGTTCATTTTGTGCCAGGGATCCAGTTAGGCACAGAACGCCAATCCATCAGTTCACATCAGTGTGAGTCATGAACACTGGATCTAGACACAGTCCATTGGTTTACTCAAAGGCCTAGACCTGAGACAATGCACTTTCCCTCGGCTTCTTTAGAACGAGGAGTTCAGGCTGGACTAGCATGGGTCTCCAAACCCAGAAGTCTGTCCAGGGGTTTTACTCTGTAAAAAGTCATCGACCCCAACATTACCATCTTTCGTATCTTGGGTTTGGAAAAGGTACAACAAGAAGTTAATCCAAGTAAGCAAGAATCTGTAACAACGTTATAAACCCACCCACCTCCTGTTTTACCCAACACCACCCGGGTCACTGCCACTTGCTCCTTGGAAACTGACACATGTCCTGGCCCTCCCCTCCTAGGCCCCACCATTGGGTTTGTAGGATGATTTCTGAAATCTCTTCTTGAAGGAAAGCCTCATTACCCAGTGACATGTTGTAATCCCAGCCAATGCTTCCAGAAAAGTTTCAATGTCCATTACATCAGCTAGCCTTAAAATTGAATACAAATCCATTTTCATCAATATGTTGTAATAAATAGATATTAAGGCCCCATGGCACTAATGTGCAGGTAGACTAATTAAAGCGCCAGCATTTGCAGCACTCACATACCTCAATTTTCTCTACAAAATCCTTATTGAACCACTACTTTAAAAAAAATAATTGCATTTGCAATTAGAAACACTGAAGTTACATTATCGATTTTCTGCTAAAAACCTTTTTAGTAAACAAGCACAAAGTACATTCATTAAATGTAAGTGCTTGGAGCTATGGTGTGAAATTCAATTCAGCCATTATCATGAATTACACTGATTATTGCTGTAATTATTTTCTCTTGGATACAACTGCATTTCTGTCCCTTGCTAGTTCTGTTGGACATATAACCATGTTCATTTTATAGCTAATAATACTCAACTGTAGTCCTAGCAATTACTATCACTTATACAAATCATTAAGTTAAGCTACAGGTACCTAGTAAGATTCAAAAAAATTAAGTAAAACATCCTTTTTTGCCCTTGAAATAACTAATAGCATTAGAGAACAAGGAAAAATTACAGATGTTAACTGATTTACATTGCAAGCTTTAATCACCTGTACTTGACTCATCAGAAATTTCTGCTGTCCTAAACACGCATTTTGAGAAGAAATCCACCCATGGATCGGTTTTTTTTATTTTCAGAAACCGTCAATGAACTGGATTACACCTCGGCAGTGTTCTCAGAGAGGAAAAGAAGCCAGGATTGTTTGGTGTGTTGCAAAAATACAGATTCTATACTTTAAGCAGAGCAAAAGATGGTCTCACATTTTACGTTTGCTTCTTTAAGAATCTTATTAACAGAACAGATTTTAAGAGAGAAAATGCCCCTTGACTTTTTCTTCCAGAGGCAACTACAGCTTTCTACAGTTGTTAAAGTGAGTCCTCTGGGGAAAATATGTATTTTCAAATGAGACCTCCCCTTCTCCCCTGGGCTGAGGGCATTGCACTGACCGGGCATCTGGGCCATAGTCCCGGGAAGCAGATGTGGTCTCTGGGGATTCTGATAGGCAATCAAGAAGGAACTGCCGGGGAAGAAAGGGGGAGGGAAGGGAGGAGAGAGTGACATTTTAAAACGTATGTGTGCATTTGTATATAGAGACGGAAACAGCATATTTCACCACAAGAGGTTTGCAGACTCTGGCCTCGGGCCAGGTGCAGCCCAAAAGGCGCCATCTCATGGCCCACTACGCTCCAGAGCCGGACACGAGGAAGAGCTCATTCACAAATCGCAGAGTTGCTGCCTCCCATTAAGTTTAAGAGCCCTTTGGAAAGTGAGCTTCCTGGGCCTCCTTGCTAAGCACTCGTCAGCCACCTTGTCATCCCAGCTTTCTCTTTACCACCCTCCTCCCCGCCCCAGGTGGAGCCTGGGGTGAGATGTCAATGAAGCAGAGACGCTCAGGTGGGAGACCTCAACCAAAGCAGGAAAATGGGAGAGGCCTTCTCAGGAGCTGCACTGTTTTCTCAGTAAGCGAGGTTTAGTATCACACTTCATATGCCTTATTTTATTTTTTAAAAGATCGAGGAGGGAAAGACGTGGCTTACAGAAATCCATAAACAAGATTTTAAGAAATAAGAGAAAAATTTAAGTGGAGGTAGCATGGAGGGGAATCCAGAGGTGAGGCTCACACGCCCGGTTCAGCACCACAGGGTCCTGCAAATTGATAGAAGCCGCCAGAACTTCCTAGCAGCCAAAGCAAAATGGAACCACAATCTTATGGATACAAGACTCACTGTTTCCAAAAGAAGAAATGTAAATTTAGAAATAAGCAAAAATCTTTTAGTTTGAAAATAAAAATGTAAATAAAATCTGACGTTAAGATTCAGAAACCAAGAATTAAAGGCATCTTTTAAACAAGTCAGATATTACTTCTTCCCGAGATTTTTTGTTTTTTCATGTAATATAAACCTCTGAAGAGTATCAATTGAAACTCTGATGCTGTTATAAGGAAGATAGAAAGAAAATAGGACAAAATAGATTGTCAGCACATCTTAAAAGCTGAACAGCTGAGAGACAGTAGGTGTTCACCGTGTTAAACTACATTTAAATAATTCTAGATTAGCTGATTTATGCCACCATTTTGGGGTCATTAGAATTTTTCCAAAGCTGCTAAATGAATTTTCTGACCATCTTGGGCCATTTAAAGCATTAACTGGCATCATGAATTCAATATAAAGAAGTCACTTTGCTATTCTAAAAAAAAAATTTAAAGGATCTTTTTTTAAAGACTGTTTCTTGCTGCTTCTGCTGTCTGGGAAGTTACCTGCAATAATTAAGTACAGTTTTGAAATGATCAGAAGTCAGAATTCTCAGCCCCCTCCTTGTACCTATTTTAAATGAGTGGGCATCTTTTTTTGTTTTTTACTAATGTGATTGGTAGTAATGATATATGTCCATCAAAGGAAGCCGTGGAAAGAAGAGACAGTGGCCACTCACAAACCACCAGGGGCGTGTCCTCTTGTCTCGCACACCAGGGAAGAAAAGATTTTTTAAATACTAACAATTTAGCTACATCCGTTGTCTGTCTGACTTGGGTGCTTCTTGGGGAATCACATTAAAGAATTCAATAGGCAGGCTCGCAAATTCAAAAAAGGGGAAAATTAAATTCCTAGAGATAGTCAAGAATATCTTGTTCATAAAGAGCCTTTTCCGCAGGAGCTTGGAAACATGTAATATAACCTTCAAAGTAAAAACGGTTTGTTGCATTAGTTCTGCTTAGCTGACCATGAATACTAATTGCAGGAAGAATTAACTGTGCCCAATACCTGGGGGCAGGAACACACAAAAGTGACCGGGAAGGCAAACAATGAATAAGGTAAAAATGAGCATCCACACCCCATTCAACTCAACATGAGCCGCAACAGAACCCTAACGTACAATGAAGCCAGTATCCGCCTCTGCCCCCTGGAGATTAGAAGAAAGAAGAGAGGCAGCCACAGAGCGTTTGAGGGTTTTTTGGGTAAAAATAATACACGCTTTTGCTCTCAGGTCTCTTGTTCAAACTCTCTTACCACCTTTTCTCTATCCCGATTGTTGCAATTCCTCCACACAGTCAGGAAATATCTCACTGTGGGTCTTCCATCCCATCTTGCAGGATAGCTCTGCGTGAGAGACAACCTGGTTGGTGGAAAGAAGACTTTGGGCTAAGGATGGGCTTGAATATGAATTTCAGCTCTGTAATTTACTAGCAGTATGACCTTAGGCAAGTTACTAAACCTCTCTGGGCCTCAGTTTCCTCATTGTAAACTGGGAAC